AAGTAATTATCAATGATTCTTAGTATGATATTTCTATAAGGATTGACGTTATTTTGCTGCCATGTTGAACAAAATTTTTGCGTGAAAAATTTCAATTTTCACAAATTCTCGTTAAATCTTTCATTTTTCACGAGTTCACACTAGGGGAAAAGATTCATGATCGCTACCCAACTCGAGCATGCTTTCTTTCGTCCCGCAACACTCAAGAGGTAGCGCGCGTTCCAGGGAGTCGATTGTGTATCTCGAAACGGAATGAAAATTACAAAAGTGAGCAAATTCACTAGACATTGACCAACGAAGTTATAAATATTCTAGTAAACACTTTTGTCATTTTCACTCTGTTTTGAGATATACAATCGACCCCCTGGTAGTATATATTTCAGTGATGCACAATGCCAAGCAACAGCAATAAAAATAGGCATTAGCTAATAGGAACAGGGAATAGAAATAATTGACCAATCCGAATTCCTATTCCCTGTTGTCTGGCATCGTGCATAGAGCGTTACGGGTGTATATCAGTTGGACACGGGGCAATTAGACACAGTCTAATCACAAGTCGCTGTTCCAAGGGACCCTACAAATGTCTCTAATCACACGGTGCTGTGATTGGCTGTGTCCAAATGCACCGTGTCCAAGTGCACCGCTCCCGAGCGTTACAGCGCGTAAGTGTCCAAAGCGAACGCAGCCAGAGTAGTATTCGTCGTTACCATGGTTACCATCAGACTTAAAACGCAAACAGAATCTATCTAATTCAGTTGTAATACAATCCACGCGATTCTTTATTTCGAGACTGGCAATACTCTAGAATAAACAATAGTTACATTTAATTAATAATGATTGTATTTTCGTTTGTTGCGCTTTTTAATTAATTCAAGTTTTTTTTTAAACATTTATTTACGAAGCCAAATATTGAACTTTCTTTTACTGAAGTGCTTTTAAGATAGGCAGCGTGAGAGAGAATTGTTTAATTTGATAGAAAGACAACTGATATAAAAATTTATTATGAGACTCAAGATATCTGTACAGAGTAATAATGGGCACAAACGTTTACTCACTTGTGTCGCGTGGAGCTCAGCGGAAGAAATTTATTCGTGTGGGTGAGTTTGCTAATGAATATGTTGTAAATATAGAGTTGGGGAAGTAACTTTTGAAAAATAACTCTTCATTGTTATTTGTTACATATTGTAAAAGTAACTTGTTACCGTTAGTAGTTACTTATTTTGGAAATTCGTCACTATTATCCTTATTCAAGAAGTAATGACTTATTACAATTTCTGTCATTTTTTAAATGAAATTTTGAAAATCTTTTATTAAAAACTTGCTTCTAACTATTCAATATCCATGTACCCTATGTGTGTAAAGTAATGATAAAAATAACGATTATATTTATTATTCAAGAAATGTAATTACATTATCGTTATCGTTACTAACAGAAAAAAATAATGATGTTATCTAATCATTAAAAAAAAGTAATGATATAACGAATAATGTGTTACTTTCAAATTCTTATTGTAAATACAATATTATTGTAAATACAATATAAATTCAATACACTATTTCTGAAATGCCTTGTCCTTTTTTGTGTCTTCTAGCATAAGCATAACATAAAAGAAATATATTTATTATTTTCGTTTTTCATACAGAGAAGACCATTTATTAATATCCTGGCATTTAGAAGGGGGTATTGCGCATCCCAGTATTGTAACAGAATTTCCAAGCGATTTTTACCCAACGCATATGCAGTGGCATCCACGTCCCAATCATACTGCATCTATTGCGAAGAAATCATCTTTGGATGTTCTACTAATTACAACTGCTGACGGTGCGTTATTTAGCTCAGAGAATATACATTCCAGTAAGCAAGAAATCATTAATACAATGTTGCTACAATGATATTGAAGAACCTGTAATATTGTCAAATATATAGTGTTTAATATTACATCAAACATCATTATGAACATACTTTGACCGCGATTTGGAAGTTTCAATAATGTTGAAATAGGGTTGCTATAACGTTTTCATCAGCAAAAATATTTTTAAGATGTTGCATTGATCTCAAATAAATGTTAAAGTAATATTTAAAAAATATATTTTTTATAATGTTTTTAAAACGTTTAAACAACATTCAAAAAAGTCATCACAAAATAACATGTGAAAAATATAAATATAATATTATTAAAAAATGTCCAAACAATGCACATGAAATCAACGTTTCTAAATATTAATTTAATGTTCCTTGCTTACTGGGATTATTAGTCAACTTAGTGATCGTTTCAAATGACAGTTTAAATATCATCTGATATATGATATTCATAGGTCTTATATTTTAGGCTTCCTTAAGTTTATCTTTAGATGCTCTGTAGAGCATATAAAATAAAATGATCGGTAGAGCATCTGAAGATGAACTTAAGGAGGCTTTAAATATAAGGCCTGACTATGAATACAGGCATTAATATGAAAAATTATTTTCTTTTTGTTACTATTTTAACATTTTGCGATACGCGGTCCTCTCGGAACTATCTTGCGTTGTCTTGTTCCAGCATATTGAAAGTGACACGTATTTAGCTACGCATGTTTTCATGCTTTTCTATTATTACATAAATGTTAAAGTAAAAAAAATTGCTAAATTTAAAACGCTTAGATTTCTTTTATCGTAAAGTTCGTGTTTTTTGATGTTCGATGATAGATACATTTGTATATTGATAAAATCGATGTTGTCCAACCGTAATATCTTCAATAAACACCAACTAATCAACTAATAGTAACATTATATTAATATTATAATTTCTTACTCAACGATATAACTGTTACAATTCAAGCAAAATAAAAAATCACAATGACATCAACATGATATCAAAATGATGAGAAAATAACTAAAAAACTCGCTTTTGAATTACAATTCAATAATTTTCTCGTTATTTTGATATCATTGTAATTTTTCTTCTACCTGGGAGACGCGACAACCCACACAACATGCAATATTGTAGAAATATTACAGTAATATTACATTATTGTATTAATATTGCAGTAGGAATGAAATATTAAGGATATATTATTGAGATATTACATTGCGATATATAACAGTGTAATATTGCAGTAGTATTACTACAATATTACAACACGATATATCATTATATAATATCTCTGTAATATTGTATTATATTGGAGTATATATGACTGAGATATATTACTACAATATTTCTCAAATATTACTATGTTATGTATTGCAGTATATTATTAAGGCCAGTTTACAATAAATCACAAACAGCATCGCGGGTTGTAAGAAATAGACCAATCACAGTTGCATGTGAGATAAATAATTATCGTCATTAGTCAATTTCTCGCAACCCGCGACGCTGTAGATCGGCCGTTTTACGACTTTGTATGTTGTACAATATGCGACTGTAATTGATCAATTTCTTGAGACTTGCAACCCGCGATGCTGTTTACGACTTATTGTAGACCGGCCTTAATATTATACTGCAATACATAACATGGTAATATTTGTAAAATATTGTAATAATATATCTCAGTCATATATCGCATTTCAATATAATACAATATTATAGAAATATTACATAATGATATATCGTGTTGTAATATTGTACTAATACTACTGCAATATTACATTGCTATATGTCGCAATGTAATATCTCAATAATATACTTGGGAAAAAATAAAAGGGATTGCATTAGATATATGTAAATTAAAAGAGATCAAAAGTGGAGATCTCACGAGATCTCCATTTTGACCTGATCAAAGTACATCTTAGTATATCTATGTATATCGGTACTTAGTATATCGGTATATACAGGGTATTTCCTCTAACTCGACCATTTAAAATATCTATTCATCTTTCGGTTGCCTTAATGCTTTTTTGCACAGAATAATGAGACAAATTAATTGGCTTAAAAAAAGTACAAAAAAATTTTTATATATTTATTATGTAAAAAATTTTTGTTTTTTTTTAAGCTAATTAATTTGTCTCATTATTCTGCGCAAAAAAGCATTAAGGCAAGATAACCGAAAGATGAATATTTTACGAGATATTTTGTATTCTATATTAAAGTGCTGGAAATTTTAAATGTCATTACTCGAAAAGTTCTTAACGAAAAAATATTTATAATGTTTTGGAAAGCTCTCGAGATAAGCTATAAGAATATGTAATAATATATGGACTATTCCATTTAAAAAAATCGCGATGACCTCGAAATCTCAAAAATTATGACCTCGAGAAAAATTTTTCGCTCGTCATAATATATC